GGTCTTACTGTTTCAGCCAGCTGAGTTCAGGTTTGCTGGGAATTCCCGTGTTGAGTGCCACCGCAGTCAACGGCTCTTGTCCCTGCAGACACCTGAGGCACCATCACGGGAGACACACGAGACGCACGGTCCTGGCCCTGCCCTCATGGTGCCCATCTGATACTGAAGTGTCCAAGAGGTTTGCTCAATCTGCGCTTGATGAATTGAACCCCGCCCCGCCCCCGTGCGGTCCAGCTGTAGGAGAATTTCCCTGGAGGCATCCTGTCTCCTTAGCTCAGCCGCACTGATTAACTCAACATCTCAGCCTCATTTTTTAGAAAAGTTATTAATTTTTGTCTATTTGAAAAGCTGGGGGAGACAGAGAGAGAGAGAGAGAGAGAGAATCTTCGATCCACTGGTTCACTCCCAAAATGCCCACGACAGCCAAGGTGCAGCCAGAACAAAGCCAGGAGCTCAGAATTCCATTGCCCAGGAGGGTGGCAGGGCAGCAGGTACTTGAGCCATCACCTGCTGCCTCCCAGGGTGCATTAGCAAGAAGCTGGGTGGGAAGCAGAGGAGCCAGGACTCAACCCAGCACTCCAGGACGGGGTGCAGGAGCCGCAAGCAGCAGTTCCCCCGGCTGCACCACGGCACCTGCCTGTTTCACACCTCACCGTGGTCTGGACATTGCCGACCACGTCCTAACCATCATCCTCCCCCACCCACAGAGCTCCAGCTGAAGCCAAGGTACTTGAGCTCAGGCCCGGAGAGACCATCAGCAAAATCCGCATTCCTAAATATTTGTTCTTTGAAATGTCTTTCTCAATTAGAGCTCACCCAAATGTTTGAGAGTCAGGCTGAATTCCAACTTCCTGCTCCAAAACAGACATGTTGAGCCTGCATAATTACTGCAGCCAGCTTTATTTGCTATAAAAACATGGATTTTTGCTCCTTCACGACTGTAAAATAATCGATAAATAGAATCCAGATGAAAAACGCCGGTGTTTAGGAGAACAAGTCTTTTATGATTCTTTTCTTTGGGGCCTAATTAATGCACTGGGGATAAAGCACCAGGCTCTGCTTCTTCAAGCAGCTCCAACTCTCCTTGTCCCACTCCGGACAGCTGCACAGGTGAGACAGACAGCCGGAGGTTCAAAGCATTTGATAATGCGCAGCAAACCGATGTGAGCAGTGCACCTGCCCCGGCCTCTCCGTTCACAGCCGTGGCTCCATTTCTTTTTTCCCCTCCCCCCTAAGCACACATGGGGCCCCGTTGCTGTCAGAGAAAACACAGGTAGTGCCATTAGCAGATGAAGCCACCTCTCCGCCTCTCTCTCTCTCTAAATGAGGAAGACACGTCTTTCTGGACAATGACCCCCCGGGCCATGAAGGTTTCATGAAGGGCCCTCCGAGTGGATGACACCTTTCCCATTATGACACTGCGGTAATAAACCCCCACAGAGCCACGGGGCATGGAGTCGAGACCAACACAGGACACCTATTTATTCCCTAATTATATTGCGATCCATTCTCCAGCCGTGTGTGTGTGTGTGTGTGTGTGCTGATGAAGATAAAATATTCTTTTAATTCTCCAGCCTCCCGGGGGGTGAGGGGGAGGGGGCTGTGCACAGGCAGGTCCTAGGAGTTCTCAGAGCTAAATCACCGCCTTCCTCGCAGGCTCCCTGCCCCCTCGCATAAACTTAAGAAAAATCACTCACTTTCCGTGGTTCTACCACACTGGCTCTCAACGTGCCGTCCCTGAGCCAAGGGCATCAGTGTCACCTGCGAGCTTGCTAGAAATGCCAAGTCCTGGACCCACTCCAGCTCCCCCTGCGTCAGAAACTCTGGGGCGAGCCCCAGGAATCTGTGCTTTTATCAACCCTCCAGGCTGCAGCCTGAAAACCAATTGTCCACAAACCAGGAAGAGAGGAGCGTCATTTTACACTGACTCAGACATCGGGGACACCCGGATTCTACGGAGGCTGGGCCCCTCGTCCTACACAACTGCCCCCTTGTGCCCCTTTGGGGCTCCATTTGCCCATCTGTACAATGGGGCCCCAGAGCTTGCCAAGCAGCTGCAGCAGCCAGGATTTCAGAGGTGCCCGGTTACCTGGCACCAGTCTCTATGGATACCTAGCAAGATCACTGTTGCCACCTCTCGCCGTACACCAGCTGGTGGACGTACTCCAGAGCAGCCCTCCAGTGCCACGTCTAAGGTCAACGGTGCTGCTGCCAAGCTACCCCTGGCAACCAGGAGCCGGCGTCACAGAAGCCCGCAGGACCTTTGGATCTCACAGCCAGCGGCCTCAGACCTTAGCACCCTGAGCCGTGAGCCCCTCGAGGGGAGGCTGGGGGCTCTCTTGGCTATACTGGCCCCACTGGGCACTGGGCACTGCTTCAGACACCCTCTCTGCACGTGTGCCTTGCCTCTGGACTAGTCTGGCAGCTGTGCAGACCGCAGACTGGCTGCGGAGGGAGATACGGGCCCTCCCTGTGTGTTGTGCATGGCTGCAATCCCAGGGCCCAGACCAGTGCCCAGCGGAAGGTACAAGTTCAGGAACTATCTGCTGACCAAAGGCTCCTAGCACAGTTAATGTCCCAGCCCACAGTGAGTCCTCAGCACCCAGGAGCCAAATTCTAAAAATTAATATGTGGAAGGGACAAAGAAGCGATTGGGAATCAGTGAGAAGCAAGGAAAGAAGGAAAACCCAGCGAATTTCCTAGCTGGCGCCACAGCCCTTAGCTCATGGGCTTTGTCCTCCACCTAGACCTGGGAGGGGGGGAGCTTGGCCCTCCCAGCTGCCCCGGCACTTCTCACTCAAAGTCCAAGTTCTTGCCAGTACCCCAAAGCCTTGAGGGTCCCCGCCTCCCTCTGCACTCACCCCCAACCCTCCCTCTGCACCTGGAAATCAGCACAAGGCTCAGATGCAGATCCTACCGTCTCCAGGGGCCATTCCTAACCCCAGCCCTCCAGAAGTGGTCTCACCCCGAGCACCAGCACGCGGCCGGCACTCACTCCCTGGTCAGGAAACGGCGGCTGCTCTCACCACGCTGCACACCATGCGGCTGAGCCTCCGGGCTCCAGCACAGCCACAGCAGAGGCATGCGACAAACTGTCACACTGGGATTTATCCCAGGTGATGCTCAGGGCACAGCACCTAGCCAAGGAAGCCGGGGACTACTCCCCTGCCTCTAACCTCACCCACACCCACAGGCAAGCCACGCCAGGGTGTATGGCAGCCTAGCCTGGGACACCCGTCCTGGGCTAAGAAAGCGGTGGAGTTAGGGGCCGGCTGCTCAAAGGCCGTGAACTTGGAGTCATGCTTTAATTCCCTTCCTTCTCTGACCAGCTCCGAGCGAATCCTCTCACTTCGCTCCTCTGTGAGATGGGAGGCGGACGTGAAGGCTGCAGTGGTGGAGTTGGAAACCTTGCGGCTTAAACACAGCGGAGCAAGGGAGCGCGCTGGAACCAGGTGCGCGGCGTGCGGCAGGGAAAATCGGCCGAAGGCGCAGAGGATGGAGCCCCGCAGGTGGTGCGCTCAACGCCCCGGGGCGCCCAGCCCGAGCTCCCGAGAGCAGGGCCAAGGGACCCCCCTCCGCGAAGTCCCCGGCTTTCAGCCTCACTGGACCTGGCCTAAAGCTCTCCCGACAGCTCTCCAACAAAGAGGGCTGCGAGCCCGGGGCTCTGCGCGGCCGGAGAAGCCGCCAGAGCCAACGACTCCTGCCTCTGGGACTCCGGGGCAGCCAGCGGACCGGCGCCCCCAGCAGGTCCGGATCGCGTGGCCGGCGGCCGCCGCGCGCCGCCACCTGGCGGGACAGGAACCCCGGCTTGCCCGCCACAGGGCGGCGGGAGGACCCTCGCCGGAGCGGGCGGAGATGGCCCGGATCCCGGAACACCACGAAGTCCTCCTCCAGCCTGCCCGAGGCCCCGCTGCGTCCGCTCGAGGGGGACGGAGAGTGGGAAGTCCGAGCCGGAGCCACGTGGGTATTTCTCCCGCAAACAGGAACACCCCCCCCCCCCCCCCGCGAAGGGAAGCGGCTCGGCTCACCGCGCGGGCTGGGGTCGGATCCTGAGACGCGGCCTCCGTGAGACGGAGCCCGGGAGTCCGAGACCGGGGAAAGCAGCCGGAGCCCGGGGGCTCCGGGAACGGCCACGCCGAAGCTCCGCGGGGGTGATGGCTCCGTCCCAGTCACGCACCTGGGCGCCCTCGAGGAACGATTTTGGCCTGTTTGTAAGTCGTACGTTTAACAAATTAGGAACATCGTCCAAGCCCAGGAAGGAGGAGCTGCTCTCGGCCGTTCCAAGGGACCACAGCGATCGCCCGGAACCGCGGGCCGCGGCCAGGCGAGAAGTTGGGAACTTCGGGACCGCGCTCCAGGCGCGCACCGGGAGCGACTCGCTTCGCGTTTAACTTTGGGAGCCAGGCTCGCTGCCAGGGGCAGCAGGGTCGTCCGGGGAGCCGGCCCACGGCGCTGTTGGGTGTCCTAGGCTTTCCCCATTAAAGAGTCGGGGCAACGGGATAAGAAAGAAACCAAGTGGATTCGGTTCCGCGCTCCCCAAAAGCGAAAGCGCTCTTGGCACCTGCTGGGGCGAGGCGCACCGCGGGCTCAGCGGAGAGCAGCCGGCGTCCCTGCAGGGCGTACGACCGCGCACCTCGGGCAGCCCACGGGCGGGAGTCCCCAGACTGCCGGGGAAGAGCCGGCGCCTTCCCGGGACACCCGCGCCGCGGCTCTCGGGTCTTCGCCCGCACGTGGAGGCGCCGCAGACGCTGCGTCCAGACTGCGGCCGGAGGGACCGCGCCTGCCCTCGCCGGGGCGCCCCACGTCCTGCCCGGACCCCCTGCCGGGCGCTCACCTTCTCCCCGCCGACCAAACTCGGCTCCGGCAGCCTGGACCCCGGCAGGGCAGCCGGGGCTCCGTGGAGCTAGCGGAAAGTTAGTGGCGGGGCTTCAAAGCCCCCTCCCCCGGCTTCGGAACCCCCCCAGCCTCCGCATCCTCGCCGACCGCACCCAGCCACCTACCTGCTCCGACAGCCGGCCCCGGGCTGGGCTGGCCCGGCGCGCAGTCCTGTCCTCCGGAGCCCGAGCCGCGCCCGATCGCTGGGCCGGGAGCCGGAGCGGCGAGCAGCCCGGAGCCGGGCGGCGTGCGGCGGGCTCGGCGAGCGAGTGAGCGAGCGAGTGGTGCTGGAGCCGCGGCGCTGCTGCTGCCGAGCCACCCCCACCGGCTCGGCCCAGTCCGTCTCCTACATGGTTTATTGGAGTCGTTGTTCCCTCGGCAACCAAGGGGGGATGGACCTCAGGGTGTGACCCGAGTAGGGCATGGAGGAATTTTCTTGGAATTCAGTAGTGCAGGTTTTATAT